CAGTTCTAATTTATTGCCCATGTGGGAGAAATTCTGGGTGTACTCTTTCTGGATGCACTTTCCTTTTCACTGTTACAACTATGGCACAGAGGGGCAATTATCAGTTTGCGAATTCTACTGTGAAAGAACCAAAGTGACCTCACTAGAAATGTTTCCCAGAGGCTCTCCTTTGCTTTCTAAAATAATATAATTGGATATGAAATAAATGGCTGGCACATTTTAAAACATATATATTGCAAATGACGGCAAACTTGGAAAAACTAGAAATGCTTAAATGCTATGGTCCTGTCAGCAAAGGAGGCATACGTTCTTGTGTTTTGGTTACATATTAAGTTACGTAATGTTTTAAAAATGTAATAAAAAACAATGTTCAAAAGGTTCCTAAAACAATTCCATGTTAATCTGGCTCTTGGTAAATAAAACTCTAAGGAAAACTTCATTCCAAATGTGAATGTGTTACACAGTGAAAATCTATTGAAATGGAATGAAGATAAAATAAGTAATATTTTCCCTTAAATACAAAGGGATATGGTTATGATTCACTCTTTAGAAACACCAACATGACTTAAAATCTATGGTGAAATTTTTTTTATTGTATTTTTTTTCCGTTACCATTTAGACCCTCCTCTCCACCACAATCACCACACTGTTGTCCATGTAGCTATGGTAAGTTTTAGAGTTGTAGTGAGACCGATTTACTTTGATGGGTAATTGTCAAAGTAAATACAGGTTATGGTATAAACTGTGCTATATAATGTGGGTTACTTTAATTCACTATGATTAGGACAGCACAAAGCAGATAATATGCTCTAAATCAACAATTTGATAAAGATGTTGAATACTGCAAAATCAGTTATGATGTTCTATTAAATACAATGTTCATTTCATAAATGGTGCAGGTTTATTAAACTTAAGAAGTTGTTTTATTCTTTTATAATGCCTGAAGATATAAAATGGATTAAGTAGACCCTCACTACAAGAGAAGCATTCTAAGGTACTTTGTGGGCCAGTCTGGCTTGATAAATAACCAAAGCTTATTCCATCTCAAAGAAAATGTGGGTTTAAAGTTATTCCTTTCTGACCCTAGTTCATTACAATGCATATTATGATTCTAACTATTCAAACATGGCCATGCAGGGGGAAAAAAAAAGCATCACATTTAGGAAAAGCATATCATAGACCACAGTGATGTGTCCTTCTCACTGAGCTTTTTAAGATCATTAAATGAGATAATGCTTCCACTGGTGTCTAACAGGCATAGTCTAATATATAGCTGCTTGGACATTTCCTCGACATTTTGGCAATTTGGGCAATGTTCAATCTGAGAAACTGGATTATATATTTTTAACATATGTGAATGAAAACTTTTTCAAAGGGGTAAGAGGGTGAAGGCAAAACTATGAGAACATCTTGTAAAGGTGGATTTATAGAAAGTATGATTGATGTTTATGTTTTCAGGGTATGGTTTATATATAAAAGATATTTCTTTTTACAGTTATAATTACATTATAAAATTTTAAAGACTATACAGATGAATACTGTCACTGACATACCAGTTTTTCTTGACTGTGCGAGGAAAGTAGGTTTTATTAGATAATTAAAATGTTACAATATATAAACAATCATTTTCCCCACTTCAGAGAGTACTGTTGGTGACAAAATTTCCCTTAAACATATCTTTTTCTGTATATACCTCATCTTTTATCCATGATCTAACAATTCATCTCTCTATATGAATTTTCCATATTTGTTACCTACTAGTGGCAAGAACTTGAGAAAACTCACTTCATCTCAGGGTCTCAGATTAGGAAATATACAGGGTTCATTAGTGCTTTTCAAAATATGGGTCATTACCCTATTAGTGGGTCACAGCTAATATTTTTATAAAATAAAATATAACTGACTCAATTTGAGTAGAAAATATAGAGGACAAGACACATTATAAAGCTAGTTTGTAAATTTTCAATTTTATATATATGTATCCATATTATATGATGAGATAAAATATATTCTATAATATAGCTGCAAGCAAAAACCTTTAAAAAATACCGTTCTAAAGAATCATAAGTATCTTCTAAATCTATGGAATTATTCTATATTCTTTCTCAAGAATTCTGAAAACAACCTTTTCAACCTAGTGTCATATAAGTATAAGGGCGTTTAAAGTGACTAGAACACATTTACTCAATTAGTCATAATCATTAATATCAATTCTTAAGTTTTTAAAAGACATCTTCTTGGGCTTTCACCCCCTCAAAAAATCCAACAAAATGTTGGGTATCAACAATTTAATGCAAATATTAATTTGCACGTGTATGCAACATACTCTTGTGAGAAGCTAGGAAATACAAAATGAATTAGCATGGTCCCTGCACTCATTAAATTATAACTTTTAGGAAAGCATCAGATATAAAAAGAAAACACTCTATCCATAACCAAACAGTAGAGTTTATATGTGTACTACTATGAAATATTATCCTAACGATCACTAAAACAAACTGTCATTTTTTGACTATCTCATTCATTCATTCATTCATTCAATAAACATTTACTGTGAGTCAGGTGTTTTTCTAGGCTGGATGTTCCTAGGTTAAAATGACAAAGTACATACTCTCAAGGAGCTTCTATAATAAAGGAAAAAACCAGAAAATATGTAAAAATATATATCATATAGTTACGTGTCATAATGATGTAACAGGCATTAACTAGGGCTACTTTTCATTGAATACTCAGGGTAGGACTCTGCATGAGTAGATACATTTAAATCGGAGATATGAATGACAAAAAGAAGGCAGCCATTTCAAGATGCAGAGAGGTACATTCCAGAAAAAAAGAATAGCTGGGCAAATGTCAAACCCAAGGCAGACAGAAGTTTGGCATGTTTGAGGGACAGGAAGTAGGTGGAAATAGCTAGGGGTGAGGCGAGAATGGTAAGAGATGAGGCAAAAGATGTAGGAGGCAGCCAGACTGAGTAAAACCGTGTAAACTATATGGTTAAGTGTTTAGAGTACGTATTTATTGCCAGGGAGAGCCATTTGAGAGTTGTAAGCAAAGAACTTTGTAGTCTGATTTTCTTTCCTCCTTCCTTTCTCTCTTTTTTCCTAGACTTGTAGGGCTGCTGTATGGAAAATAAATTTTACACAGCAAAAATGAAACTAAGGAGTTTAGGAGGCTATTAGTTATTCAGGTGAGACATGGTTGTCGCTTAGAGTAAGGTAGTAGCAATGAAGAGAAAAGGAATTAGATAGATTTTAGGAATGTCTTGGAAGTACAATGCCAAATTTGCTGATAGACTGGATATAGCATGTTTGGCAAGAAAAGGGAATCAAGGACACTTCCTTGAATTTTAGTTTGTGCAACTAGGAAGATGGTTTCACCACTGGGATAGGGAAGAACAATTTGGGGGAATTGTCAGGAATCCAGAGTTCCGTTTGGGATATGTTAACTTTGAGATGCTTGGTAGCCATCAAAATGAGTATTTCAAGAAAGCAGAGCTGGGTGTCATGGGATACATAAGAACTATGAGATTTATGAATTTGGGACTCATTAACATATATGTGGTATTTATTGCCACAAAACTGGCACCTCCATGAGAATGTCATGCAGTTTCTTTTAACCTTGATAACAATTCAAGGTAAATATTTTCTTTTTATATAGATATAATTATCTTCTTTTTATATGTGAGCAATCCTAATGGTCAGAGGTAAACATTCTGAAAGTCAACAACCAGTTACTAAATGGTGCAGCCTGGATTCTGTCTGATAAGTTATTCTTTCCATCATACGAGATTGTTTTATTGAAGCATTTGAATATGTGAATTTCTGAGTCGAGGATTTTTAATTTTTTGAACGGTTTTTTAAAAAATGTTTAGTCTGGAGAGAATGACATTTATTCAGAATTTAATCCCAATTCATAAATTCACTGTTCTTTATCTTTATGCATCTTCTCTGTGGCTAGTGCCATTGACAGTCCCCCCCACCTTTTTTTTCCACTATACTCTCTTAGCTTGCGGGAAATGACGGTCTTTTCTTCTCATATGCCTATTGCCTCTTTTCATTAACTCGTAACTGTGGCTTGTAAGCAGAATTTTTAGCCTTCTTCCCTCACTTTACACAGTCCCCCTTTACAATTTCATGGTCTCATTGCTTCAAATACTAAATATATGCTTAAGACCCTCAAATTGTTTTGTTTCCCTCTAGGCCATTTCTCACTGTGTAGGTCCAAAAGTTCCTGACAGCAATTAGCCAGCTGGGAAAGGATAGGGAAGGAAGCTTCTCCGTAAGGTTAAGGGGAGGGAAGTGTAGGGGCTGTAATGGTCTCATTTGTCCATTTATTCAGTATTTATTCATTTATTTATAAACACTTACATACTGGCTGCTCTTACGAAGTTTTAAATCTAGAGTGGCAGGCACACTGATTACGAGGAGCGGTATGGGATGGCACAAAGTCATTAATGTAACATAAAGAAGACCTCGACCACAAGTACATAACGTGCAAAAGCTGAATCCCACTTAGTCTCTCAAAGAGTCTTAACAAAACGTTTGGAGTACATCAGTATAGTCGAACATTAAAAAGGAAATGGACACTGAATTCCGAACGGAAGGAATAAAATTGGGAACAAATTAGGGATTCGGGTAGAACGTTGCCCTGAAGCAAGCCACGACGACAAGGAACTGATTAGCGAAAGGGAAGAGGATAAACACCTACGTAGAGAAAAACGAACGATCAGAAGTGTACATTACAACCCTAGTATTTGTTAAAGCTTCACGTAAAACAAACACCTTACACCAATCACGCTCTGCTGCGGGACTGCGTCCCGGCTCACCGCGCACCGCCCAGATCCCCGCCCCCCCGCCCCCTTGCCCGACAGCCCTTCCGTGGAGCCCTGTACACGTGCGCGGCGGATCCCGCCCCCTCCGCTCTCTCCACCAATGAAAGATGGTATCGTAATCCGCCACCGCCCGGTCACAGGTCACGTGATCGCGTCTCCCCTCCCTCTCACCCAGCTGCCTCTAGGTTCTGAGAAGATGGCGAAGGTTTCAGAGCTTTACGATGTCACTTGGGAAGGTAATACGGGTGGTGCGGGCGCGGGAAGACCGAAAGTTATGGGACGCGGTGGGGGACACCTACTGCCCTCGGAGAGCTGAATTCCCCGGCCTCTTTTCCGCACTGGAACTCTCACTGAACGGGCCGCACTGAGGTGGTGATCGAGACTGATCTGTTCCCTGGCCGGCCATAGACTGATGTCCGCGGTGTCCCTCACCGCCTATGTTCATCGATAGACCTACCTCCGCGCCAATCCAAGGTCCCAGGGCAGCTTCTATGATGAGGCGGGAGGACCCTGGGTCTGCTGGGCGCAGAGGAGGAGGAATAGGTTCCTGCCGAAGCTTCTTTGCAGTCAAGAAATACAGAACTTATAAGGCCTTTTAATTTAGTGCCGTGTAGTAAGGGTTACAACTTTGTGCAGGAAAGGTGTGTAGGAGCCTCATGAACAGCTCTTATTCTCGTGCATGCTCCTTTACATTTCGTTCCCTTCAGAGCGGAGTTTCTGATTTCTTCCGTTTTTAATGACTCCTTGTCCCACTCCTCCTGGAAACATTTGCACATACAACATACTTCTTTCTTACTCCCTACCAGGAATTCCTTTTCTGAGGGGGGAAAGAACTGGTTGTCTTGGACATGTGCTCACGTGTGATGGACTTCTCTCCCCATTGTAGGTTAATATAAGGTGGAGTGTGTTCTTTAAGACTAGAAGCAAACTTCCAGTTTTTTCCCCCTCTCAAAAACTTAAGCGGGAGACATAGTTGAGAAATGAGCCTTGAGTTTTTCTAACGCATGAAATTTCAGTAATTGATATTTATATCCCCAGCTTTTAATAGTGGACTTCAATAGGTTATTTGTTCAAGGAATGCCGTCTTTCCAATGGTTCAACAATGGCCTGGTAATATATACTGAAGGTTATGGTGAATCAATTTCTCCCGTATGACAAAATTGCAAACATGTATGGGAAAAGGTAAAATTCTTTTACAGTCGAGCCGAATTTAATGATTTATTATCCGTTTTGTGGCCTCTAGCACACTGTGAACCTCAGTGCTTCTACCTGTATTGGAGATGTCCATCACATAAAACAAAAGATTTAAGTGCTTAGTGCTAGATCTTGGATTTATGAAATCATGTCACACACAGTCCCTGCCTTCATGGAGTTCACAGTCTAATGGAGAAGACAAACTTGTCAGTGTGTAGTTTTAAAAGACCTGTCAGGATATATTTCTTACGCTGAATGATAGGTATGTGACTGTTATTTTTAATGCTTTTTAAAAACGTTTTGAATATATCATGTTCTTTATTTTTAGAAAGTGCCATTTTGAAGTCATAGTCAATACAGTTTTCTTACATGACAGTAGTAAGTACGTAATCTTAAGGAAAGAGTAAATGTGTACTACCAGACAATATGATTTATATTACATAACTGGGAATACCCTGTGGACATTATGAAAAGGGGTGATTTAATTAGATTTAGAGTAACACGTTTGTTGAGAAACAAAAAAGAAAGCATGTTGAAGTGCTTTTAAACAAAGTGCTGCATAAAAAGATGATCTGGCTCCTACCCATGGCTCTAGCTTTGTCTTAAGCTATTCTCCCTCTTACCGAGCTGGCAGTGGTGGCTTTTGTTGAGTTCCCTGAATGTGCCCTGGTTCTCTTGTATTAGGGCAGGCCACGTGTTCTTAGGAGTGTTCTTCCCTCATTGCCCCATTCTTGCCCCCATTATAGTTTATCATTTCTCAAAATTTCCCTCAAAGGTCGCATGTTTCAGAGAGCTTTCCTTGAGCATCCCACAGCCATTCCCCATCCTTCCACCAATATTCTAAAAAGGAAAGGAAAAACAAAAAAACCCAAACAAGCAACAAAACCCTCCCCTGGTCCTTTGACTGTGGGGTTCCATACTCTGGAAACGCTTACCCTATTGTGTTCCATTTTAAAATTTTTTCTCCTAGAATGAAGGGAGGGACCAGGCCTCTGGTATTTGCCAGTGCCTGACAAATACAAAGAACACGGTAATTATTTGTTGACTAAATGAATTGTTAATTGATTAATAATAAACATTAATATACTTTTACAGAAAAGAATATAAGTAATTTTTCTAGTGTTGGAATAATTTAGTATCTTAGATAGACTTAGGCAATTCAACTATAAGATATGGTTTGCTTATTTGTGAAACAAGGGTTTAGAAAGACCTTCCCAGAATTCTCTTTTAGGGGACTTCTAAGAAAGAGCAGTTGAGATTTTTCTTTCAGAGACTTACGGTAACAGATTTTTAAAATGTGAAAGGGTGATGGGAGGACTCCCAGAGATAGCTTTTTGTTCATATTTTTTTAGGAGGAAATGTCAGTTGGACCTGTGTCCTTAAGAATACCATTGCGTAGTATCATGAATTAAAGTTGTGGAAATGGTCAGTTCAGAGTACTGTAATTCTTGTGATAGGAAAAGTGATCACTTGTTTGTCGAATATTCTCCTAGTCTCTTGGGTTCTATAGAATTAAGTTGAATATATGGTTTATTTATTCAGCCAGTTGAAAGTTATTGAGGTTTATTAGCGATTTGGAGGCATGAAAGAGAGTTACAAGGAGGGTGTAGTCAGGTTTTTTGAGAATACGTTATACGGGCAGGATATGGATAGGATGCCTAGCACAATGCTTGGCATGTGGTAGGCACTAAATGAATATTTGTTGGAAAAAAAATTAAAAATGAAGGAATTTTACTTGATAATACTGTCTCTATGTCCTCTCTTTTTATCTAGTTCTTCAAACCACAGTCTTGTCTCTATGCTCTATCACTACAATATGGTTTCTAAGGAGACCTTATGCCAGGTCTAATGTATGTATGTATGTATGTGTTTCATACATCTGTAGTACATTTGTCATTGCAGATTACCCTCTCTGAAAAATTCTTTCCTTGGTTTTTTAATAACATTAAAGTTCCCATTTTATCAGACTTTTCCTTTGCTTAGTTCTCTACATCTATTCGCTTTTTAATTTTTGGTGTCCTCAGTGCTTCCTTCCTTAGCTCTCTTCTTAATTTATTGCTGGGGGTTATTAAACTTGAGATAAATAGACTCCTTGCTGATACAGACATAGGTGTTAAGTGGTCTGTGAATTTCTCCTGACATCATATGTAAAATTGAATGTATGGAAACATATACTTATTTTGGGAAAAGGTGATTCAAAGGTCTCAACAACTTCAAAGAGCTCTAAAAAAAGGTTAAATGTCGTCTTTGGGCAATCTCAGCCACACCTAGCTTTATTTAGCCTATATGCTAAATAACATTAATTAAACATACATTTGACTATTTTGTACCAGGCTCTGTTCTAGTTCTTGAGGATACAGTGCAGAACAAGACATGAGAGGTCAGAGAGAGACCAGGGGTCGGGGGTGCGGGAGGCACATGATCCGTTGCCTCGGGAAGGCAGGATTGAACCTGCAGCTTTTGTGTGTACAGGACAGCGCTCCAACCAACGGAGCCACCGGCCAGGGCTCCTCGGCTTTTGAAATAATCTAAACCTTTGTAATTTCCCGAGTGGTAGGGTGGATAGAAACATCTTCTGTTAAAATATTTTGTCTTAGTTCTTGGTTCCTGAGCGACCATTAAAATTTCTGGAGTGATGACTGAGTCTTTTTGTACCCTATTGAGATGACTGGTGGCTGGATGGCTCCTGGATGGGGGCTGGCCACCAGAGACACCAAGGCATGATTAAGGGTTTGCAGTGTCAGCCTACCGCTTGGCCTCTTGGGAGAGGAGAGGACCTCAAGGTGGAGTTAATCGCCGGTGAGTCAGTCATTCCTGTAGAATAGACCTCTGTAAAACCCCCTAAGCTACAGGAGCTGGAGAGCTTCCAGGCGGGTGAACACGTTAAGGTGCTGGGAGGGTGACGGGCCGAAACTGGACATGGACGTGCCTCTGCTCTTCACTTCCATTTGGCTCTTCTCAGTTGTATCCTTTATCGCAAACCAATGATAGCAAGTAAAGCACTTCCCTGAGTTCTGTGAGCCGTTCCAGCAATGATGAGTGGCGGGGGGTTGGAGGAACCTGGACTTCATAGCCAGTTGGTCAGAAGTGGAGATGGTCCTTACTTGTGATTGGTGTCTGAAGTGGGTGGGGGCAAGCTGGTGGGACTGAGCCCTTCACCTGCGAGGTCTAATGCTAACTCCCTGTACTTGGTGCCAAAATTGAGTTGAATTATTGAACATCGAGTTGGTGTTCAGAGATGTGGAGAGTTGGTTGGTGTGGGGAAAATGACCCACAGCATATTTGGTGTCAGATGTGTTCAGTGGGTAGGAACAGATCTTACCTGTGTATGAAAATGTAGATTAGATAAAGACACTAGGGTTTACACAGTAAACTTAGCAGCGTTACAGATAGACAGTATACTCCTGCCTTGTTTTAATCCTACTTTTCTGATCTCATTTTTAAAAGAATACTTTTAGTCAGATACATGTCACTGGATTTAAATAAAATAGCACTGTTTGTTTCAGAATTCTGTTTACAAAATGAATAGATTTTGTTGTTTTTTTCCAACATTAGTTTTATATAGTGATTAAATGAGTGACAGTGTTGCTAATGCATTCTTTTAGCAGTTAAAACTATGCAAGCTATATAATTTGATGAGTTGATTTAATGGGATAAAGCTTGGAGATGCTGTGTGTGTGTGTACGAGTTTCAAGCTGCCATTGTCTGAAAAGGATTTGTATTTACTAATACTTTTACATTATATCTTTGTTTTTGGGGACTTTCCTGTCAAGAGCCATATGTTTTTAACCAGGCTCAGGAAATATATCTCCCTGGTGGTTTCGGTTGATTTTCAGATTATAAAGTATTATATAATAACAGGTTTATGACAGATTTGAGATCATTTCTAGCAAACATAAGCTCTGTATTTTAAAACTGTTCCATTAATAAATTTCCATGTCAGAGTTTCAAGGAAATTATATTGCAACTCACCTTTAGTATTTTTTGAGTTTATCAATGTTTAATTTGGTAAAAGGCAAATGGTTTTCTTTCATCTGTATTTTAAAGGACTGTGCTCCTTTCTCTCTTTTTCCCTCCCCGCTCCTTGCCTTCCCTTCCCCTTCTTTTCCCCCTTTCCCGCCCTTCCCTCTTTCAGTGTGTCTTTTTATTATAAAATAAAATGAAAACAAAAATTGCACAGAAGAAATTTACTGCCAAGTTATTTATTACAAAATGAACACCCGTGGTATCACCACCCAGGTTAAGAATGAGAGCTTTGCCGTCCCTCCTAGAAGTCCCTTCTATGTGCCTCATCCCAATGATAGCTTCCCCTTTCCCCTCATTAGGAATCATTATCCTGATTTTTTAAGTCAATACCTGCTTTCATTTTAAAATAATTTTGTTGTCCAAATGTATATCCTGAAACATTATACGTTAGTCTTGTCAATTTCTATAACGTTGAATAAATTTTAAAAGTCTCTTTTGACCTTTAGGTTCCCATTCTCTCTCTTTGTTTTACTTAAAATTTATCTGAAGAACTTGGATGCCATTTTCTACTTTGCTCCTTTCTCTTTTTAGTTCACCTGCACCTTCAAAAATCTCCCTTTACTTCTTAAGCATGAACTATAAGGCCTTTTAGAAACTCAGTCCTCTTCCTTTTTACCTACTCATCCCCGGACCCCACTCTGTGTCTTTAATTCTGGCTCCCAAGAGGGGTTCCTTCTGTTTGAAGTAACTTTCTTTTCTGCTTGCCTGCTGAATTCTTCTTCCACATTTAAGATTCAAGTCAATGTTATTTCCTGTGCAGAATGAGAGTCAGGATGATTTTTAGGTTTCAGGAGAAGGAATTAACTGTATATTAATTTGTAATGCTTTTTGAAGACCATTTTTATAGATTCAGTTAGGGTCCGTTTTCATCTTAGGATGATTTTTTGTGGTCTTTTATAGACTTTGAACTACAGGGACTTAGATAATACATATAAAAGTAGTGAAAATCCCATGTGCTTCTCTTATATTTATTCTCTAGGGGCCTAATGTATTGTGTATTTAACTCATTTGACAAGTAATTAAACTTTTAAAATCTATTCAACATCTTTGTAGAAGGAAGAAGGCAGTAATCCAGATGAGTATGTAAGATTTTCAGGGATGGGGTAAGAAGGCATGTAGGTGATTGGTGAATTGGACAGTTAATTCTACCTTAACGATATAAAAGAATCTTTTGTTTACTGGATTAGGTAGTCTTTCCCACCCCCCACCCCCCCCAGCTATCTTTATTAGTATTATCAAAATGCTGTTCTTCAAAACTCAAGTTTTCTATCGTATTACATTATGCCAAGTTGTTCTCTTGACTTTTGTTGTTTGCTAGTGCTTTTGCTCTTATTTTACATTATCTATTTTATTTCTTATTGTAAATACAATAAAAATGTCTTTTCTAATTTTTAGCTGTTTATTTCCTTTGCATAGTTGTGTGTCTTTATATATTTTATGTATTGTTGTAGTAATGTCATGAAGTTTTGTGATGAATAACCCTTCAGTTCTGATAGCTTAATAGGATACTTTGATAGAAAAATTTTATATTCTTGAGACAGTTTGCCAAATTCAGGAACACCTTGAATTTTTGAGATTTCTATGTATAACTTTATTCATTTTTCTGGGAAAATAATCCCTAGCTTTTATCAAATTCTGAACATTGTAACCTCAAAAATGTTAAGATAGGTAATTGCTTAAAGAGATGGAGGATCTTTGTAGTGGACCCATGCCATTCATTACTTTTAAATAGTAACATCCATTACAATGCTTTTGTAGTCTTCCAAAGGATCTGTTTTTCCTGTTAAATTGGCATAATGCTATATTAAATTTGAGATACATGGACTTTTAAATTAGTGTGAGTTTATTTTCTTTACCCAAAAAAAGACTTCATTTTGTCAATTTCTTAACATTGATCAAATATACTGTATTTTGCTGTGTATAATGCACTTGCATGTATAATGCACATGCATGTTTTTGTGTGCATTATACATGGGATTATTATAGCCAGTATTATACCTATGGCATAATCATTATAACATTGTATAATATGCATCCTTATTTTTCCCTCAAAAATTTGGGCAAAAAAGTGCACATTGTACATGGCAAAATATGGTATACATAATAACAAGTTTTTTGTTTTCAGAAATGCGTGATAAAATGAGAAAATGGAGAGAAGAAAACTCAAGAAATAGTGAGCAAATTGTAGAAGTTGGGGAGGAATTAATCAATGAATATGCTTCAAAGCTTGGAGATGACAGTAAGTTTTTTAATTTATTTATCCTCAGCATGTGTTTGTTTACCGCTCTTAGTTTTTTTTAAAACCATCATCCATTGTGTTTTTTCCTGATGTTCATAGCAATCTATCTGATTTGTCACTTTTTAAAAACCTTCTCAGGAAGACTAATGGTACTGTATTTGAGAAGGCTTTCTAATTGCTGTTAGTGGTGAGCTATCAACTAGCCCTTTTTGTTTTAAAGCTCACAGGGCTGTAGTCCTGGTCTGGTGAAAATGTATTTTATAAAGAATCGTTTAGAACAGTAAAGGTAGTAGGGTAGTAGATAATTGGAGTTGTGGGGTTTTTTTTGTTTTTTTTTTTTACTTGTAAGATAGTAAATATTTCACATTGCTAAAGGTATGTAAGGATGCTTTCTTTCCTTAATTGCTGATACAGTACAGTAAATCAATTTTCAGTTGTAAGTACTATTCTCTAAAATACCAAACAGGAAGAATTTATTTTCTACTTTTCTGTTGGGAAATTTTTATGGTAAATTTAGTTTTTTTCTCTCTATATGTATCTAGTTTGGATCATATATGAACAGGTGATGATTGCAGCTCTAGACTATGGTCGTGATGACTTGGCATTGGTAGGTATTTAAACTAATTATATTTTATATTTAATATACTTTATGGGTTATATATAAGCAGTTAAGACTTAGTATATGGCTTGTATAGAATGCTTTCTATAGCTATAGTAGGATTAAGTATGCACTTTGATCACAGTGTATTCTTAAATCTTTTTAACAATTCTGAGAAGTAGATTATTTAGTATCCCAGTTTTACTGAAGAGGTTAAATTAATTGGTGAAGGTGATCCACTTACTGGGTGAATTATGCTATATTATAGAGTTTATAATAAACAGTTTAAAACAAGTTTATCTTTTGGATTGTTGAATGACTTTCATAGTATATATTGTTAAATACTGTTTTGCAATATTGTAAATGTGTACCTTAAATTATAAAATCCTGACATATACAGAGCATGACTTGAATTACTAATACTGCTTTTAAGGTAGGAGAATGATAATAGCTAGCTATATTTTGCACTTATCTGCTAGGTACTATGCTAAATGCTTTACATCATGTTTTATTTGCTTTTCACAATTATTTCTTGATTTGTGTTTAATATTATCATCCTATTTATTTTGTAAATCAGGAAACAGAGGTTTCTCTTCTTTTGTTTTTATAATTCTGACTTCTTAAACTACTTCATACTCCTTCCTCATTTAAGCCAAAAAGTATTATATAGAAACAGAAAATAGAAATACCAGGAGAACATATGCATTGCTGACTTAACATTATCCTTTTCAAGGTAATTACATTAGGTTGGCTCTACACATAATTGTAGTGGAGCTGTCAGTGGTAAAAAGTGTTCCACAGAACCTTTTTGGATTACTTTTAGAATGTGTGACATAGTTATTTGAATATTCTCAGAATTCGCAGCTTGTATTCTGAGGGAAATTTTGAAAATTTTTTTTGAAATAGCCAAATGCCATTAGACCAGATTAGGTCATAATATTGATAAACAAATCAGTAGATCAAATTAGATCAGTTTTTTTGTAACAGTATTTATTTTTTAATGTTTCAGAATATTTACACAGTTAGCCTGATTGAGTGACCTAGTAGTATGAGTTTTGCATGATGACCAAGAAATAAATGAACATCATTTTCAGTTCTGACTAACCTTAATATATGTCTTAGCGTGGCAAATTTTCAGGCACACAGTTTGAGAATATATCTTCATGTGCTTCTATTACTAGTTAATAGTTTCTTCACTAGTTAAAGGCATTTTTTGGTCACTTATGCTTTAGGGCACCAGAATGGACCATTTTTATAATCCTCATCATTTCTAACACATCTATCCTTATCCTGATTCTAACACATTTAAGACTCTTATAATCCCTCATATTGCTGATAACATAGTAGGTGCTCAATAAATATTTGACTTTTTTATTGAGTTGATGGGTGAATTATGGATATTTGCTTAAAAGAGACTGTTCCTTCATAGATATGGTGTCTGTATTTTATGATCCCAAATCAGGATGTATGTATTGACAAGATTATTATGTAATTTTAACAGGGAGAAATTAAGCAAAGTGTTGGTGGTGGTAGTAGTAGTAGTTTCTTGAGAGTACTTCCAAAGAACTCAATTTTTATCCAAAGAATGCTTATGCATAGTTAGGAAGAAAATACTAGGAAACTGTTGGAGGCATATAAGTGGGGCCTGGTACATTATGCAGACAATTTTTAAGGAGTAGTAATATGGTAGTAGTATTTGAAGAGTTACTGGTAGACACATGACCTGCTCATTGTCCCAGTTATTAGCATGGTTAGTGTCTGAGAACTGATTGTTTTTCTCACTGTAATTTCAGAGTTCTCTCTTCACCCCATTTTTCATTAGATTAATTTCATTTCAAGTCATTGGATCATACCAATGAAATTATTTAAGAAAATACATTGAAGACTTATGTAGGCCATTCCTTGTAGCTCGTTTAGTATATGTAATGTAATTAGTACTTTTCAAGTCTTTCTTACTAGGTATTGTTTTAGTTTTGTCTTCAGGAGTTGAGAAGACAGTTCCCCGGCAGTCACAGAGTCAAGCGACTGACTGGCATGAGATTCGAAGCCATGGAAAGGTAACCGAACCTTGTAAACGGTGTGATGCCATTTTAAAATGGCAAACACGGGTCCTGCCTTCATAGTCTTCTACATTTACGGCATTGTCATTGATGGTGCAAGATCTGCTGCTCCTGACAGGCTGCTACTCAGCGTAAATCCTGGCCTTCACTCCCAGTAAATAGGATTTGACATATAATTTGACCCTTCACCATCTCTGATCTTGTGAAACTGAGATTATACTTTGTAGTAAGAACTGGCTTCCAATCCTGATTCTATGATTTATTAGCTGTTTCCCTAGCAAATTATTTAACTTAAGGGTTTTTCAGTCACACTCCTCTGTAAAGCAAAAATCTTACCAACTTCTCAGGATTTTTTTTGAAAATTAGTAATAATATATGTTTAGGACTCTCATAGGCACTCAAGGTATAGAAGCTATTTTTTTATTGAGATATAATTGACACATAACATTGTATTAGTTTTTGGTGTGCAACATAATGATATATGTATATACATATATGTATTGTGAAATAATTATAGTAGTTAACAATCACCACTCGTGGTGATACATTTTATTTTTTTATGATGAGAACTTCTAAGATCTACTCTTTTAGCAACTTTCAAATATACCACACAGTGTTGTTAACTATAGCAACCATACTGTATATTACAGTCCCAGGACTTATTTTATAACTGGAAGTTTGTACCTTTGGACCCCCTTCCCCCATTTTGCATGCCCCCTACTCCCACCTCTGGCAGTCACCAATCTGTGTTCTGTATATGTAAGTTCTAGTTCTTTCTGATTCCACATATAAGTGAGATCATACAGTATTTGTCTTTCTGTCTGACTTACTACACTTAGCATAATGTCTGTTTGGTCCATCCAGGTTGTCATAAATAGCGGAATTTCCTTCATTTTTATGGGTGAATAATATCACATTGTATATATGTCACAAACTCGTTCATCTGTCCATGGACACTTAAGTTGTTCCATGTCATGTGCATCGTAAATAATGCTCTTATAACATGGGGTTGCATATATCTTTTCAAGATAGTGCTTTCGTTTCCTTTAGATAAATACACAGAAGTGGAACTGCTGGATTAAATGGTAGTTCTATTTTTAATTTTTAAGGAACCTCCATACTGTTTTCCATAGTTGTACCAGCTTACATTCCCATGAACAGCACACAAAGGTTCCTTTTTCACCACATTCTTGCCAACACTGTGTCTTGTCTTTTTGGTAATTGCCATTTTAACAGGTGTAAGGTGATATCTCCTTATAGTTTTGATTTGCATTTTCCTGACTATCAGTGATATTGAACATCTTTTCATGAACCTGTTGGCCATTTCTGTGTCCTCTTTGGAAACATGTCTGTTCAGTTCTTCTACCCATTTTTTTTACTGGGATTATTTTTTTACTATTGAGTTGTATGAGTTCTTTATATATTTTGGATATTAACCCATTATCAGGTATATGATTTCTGTTTTCTTCTGTTCTGTACCTTGCTTTTGTTGCTGTTTTTATTTGCTATACAGAAGCTTTTTAGTTTGATACAGTTTCATTTGTTTATTGTTGCTTTAGCTACCTTTGCTTTTGGTGTCAAATCCAAAAAATCGTCACTAAGATCCATGCCAGCTTACCTGCTGTGTTCTCTTCTAGTAGTTTTATGGTTTCAGGTCATATATTCAGGTCTTTAATCCATTTGGAGTTGATTTTTGTTTATGGTGTAAGGTAGTGGTCTGGTTTCATTCTTTTATGTGTGGCTGTCTAGTTTTTCATCAGTTTCTTAAGAAGGCTATTTTTCCTCTATTGTGTATTCTTTCTTTGTTGTAAATGAATTAACCATATATGTGTGGGTTTATTTCTGGGTTCTCTATTCTGTTGCATTGATCTATGCATCTGTTTGTATGCCCATTCCATACTCTTGATTACTGTAGCTATGTACCATTGTGTGAAATCAGGAAGTATGATACCTCCAGCTTTGTTCTTTTTCCTCAGGATTGCTTTGGCTATTAGGGGTCTTGTGTGTTTCCATACAAATTTTGGAATTGTTTGTCCTTTTTCTGTGAAATATGCCATTGGAATTTTTATAAGCATTGCACTGAATCTGTAGCTTGCTTTGGATACTATGGACATTTTACCAGCATTAGTTCTTCCAATTCATGAGCACATACATCTTTCAGTTTATTTGTTCTTAATTTTTTTCATCAATGTCATAGTTTTAGTTTGCAGGGCTTTTACCTCTTTGGTTAAATTTGTTCTTAGCTATTTTATTCTTTTTGATGCAGTTGTAACTGGGATTGTTTTCTTAATTGCTCTTTCTGATAAATCATTATTAGTATATTAGTGATTTTCAACCAGTGTGCTCTGGCACACTGGTGTGCCACAAGAATTTTTAAAACATGCAATACCTCACTATTACTGACTATTTAGATGGGACACTGACTTCTATTCCTTTAGATTGTCAAATAAAAAAATCACAACAACACAGTAGCTGTCTGGTGTGAATGAATCAAAATATACCATTTTTTTGTCAGGTCAACAAAAAATATTTTTTGGTGTGCTACAGAATTTTGTTTGCCATGAGATAAAAAAGGTGTATTGAAACAACTAATTTTTTGTATATTGACTGAATCCTGTAACTTTATTGAATTTGTTTATTATTTCTAACATTTTTAATGGAATGTTGTACTTTAATAAGCTGTTATTATCTTTGTTTACCTGTCTTCCAACTTGAGGGGCAACAGTTTGCCCTGTGACTAATTCTCTGATCGACCTAAGAGTTTTTGGTTTGTTCAGTTTGTTTAGCTTTTTTTTTTTCTTGTGAGGACAGGAGAGACAACTTCTAAGGTCTTTACATGCTGTTCCAGGAACCAGAAATCTTGAGCATCTTTTCATAAAGTTATTGACTATTTCTGTGTCTACTTCGGAGAACTATGTTCATATTCTTTGTTTTTGAATTAGGTTGTCTTTTTATTATTTAGTTGTAAGAGATCTTTATATATAGCCTAGATACAAGATCCTTATTGAATATATGATTTGCAAAAGTATTCTGGAATTCTTTTCATTTGCTAAGTGCAGTGATTTTCAACCTTTTTCATCTTGTGGTACACATAAACTAATTACTAAAATTCTGTGGCACACCAAAAAAATATACTTTTTGCCATTCTGACAAAAAAAAAAAAAAATGGTATAGTTTTGATTCATTCACACCAAACGGCTATTGTGTTGGCTGTTGTCGTTTTTTTTATTTGACATCTAAAGGAAAAGAGGTCAGTGACTCTGACTCAGTAGTCAGGTATTACATGTTTTAGAAATTCTTATGGAACAACAGTTGAAAACCGCTGGCTTAATGATGTCCTTTGATTACAAAAGTTTCTGATATTTTATGAAGTCCAGTTTATTTTCTTTTTCTTTACTTTTGGTGTCATATCCAGAAACTATTACACCTGTCTTTTCTGAGAGTTTTATGGTTTTAGTTTTTACTTTTAGGTGTTTAACACATTTTAATATTTTTTATGGTGTGAAGTAGGTCAGTCTTCCTTCTTCTTCATGTAAATAACCAGTTGTCCTATCACCATTTACTGAAAAGACTGTGCTTTCCTTATTTGTCTGGGCACCCGTGTTCAAAATCAATTAAATGTAAATGTGAGGGTTAATTTCCCAGCATTTAGTTCTATTCCATTGATCTATATGTTTATCATATACCACACCACATTGACTCTAGACTGTATTGATTCTGTGGCTTTGTGTTAAGTTCTGTAATTGGTCATTGTTGAGTCCTTTAGCTTTGTTCTCCCCGCCCCACCCCCTGCTGATTATTTTGTCTGTTTTGAGTCCTTTGAATTTACACATGAATTTTAGGATCAGCTTGTCACTGCTCACCTTCTCAGCATGGTGTTTTAGGTAAGATGGTTAACTTGTACCTCAATTGTAGTAGTTTTTTTCAAGTTGAATTTATTGATATAATTTTTCTCAACCCCTTCATTCCTGGGCTTATATGTTTGTGTATGTGTACATTTTAACCTCTTTGGATCCTCTCTGTAAGCAAGTAAAGAGCATAGATAAAGAAAAGTAAATAAAATAATATTAGATTATGTAAGCAGAAACTAATTTTGAATCAGAGGACAGAATGGAAGAAATCTGTAGGGATTGCTCCTGAATCAGTGTTCTACTTACTATCACTTTTTGTTTTATCTCAAATAGTATGAATTCCTAGACCATTCTTAAAATATATGAATAGCAGAACACATTCCATAGACCAAGATGAATGATTTTAAAAACTATGTTGTAAGGATTTGAGAGGTACTAGATTCCAAACCAGACATTTTAATATTTACTATCCCTCTACCCCTTCCCAACTATACAGAATATTGACATGGTAGCAATAATTTATTCCTATTAAGTGTTAATTCAGGTTTTCTAAGACACCCAGTGAACTTTAATTTCTTTAAACCTTATTCTTTATTGACACTCATATCACCATTTTGTTTAGTAAAGCTTTAATGTTTTTATCTGAAAAAGTGGTTGTTGTATGTGTCTTTGTCAAATAGGATTATTAATTGTTGATTGTCATACTGTACCTTAGAATCTGTGGAATATTAAAAAAAATACGTAGTTGCTGTCCCCACTTTCCTGAAATCAGTCTGTTAGAGGTATAGTGCAGATTTTCTTTAAAAAGCTCTGTAGGTGAAAAGACAGGTGGGTATTAGAACATTGTTGACCAAAGGTAAATTTTTGTGGACTTTGAATGTATTAGATTCTCTAGAGAAACAATAAAAAAAATATAGAACCAAATGTATATGTATGTATATGTACACACACACATATACATACTCACAGACACACACACACACACACACACACACACACACAGAACTATATATATATAAATGGAGATTTATTATGAGGAATTGGCTCACTCAATATTGGAGGCTTTGAAGTTCCAGGATCTGCCATCTGCAAGCAGGAGACCCAGCTAAGCTGGTGCTATAATTCAGTCTGAGTCCAGGTCTGGAGGCTGAGAACTAAGGGAGCCGATGGTATAAATTGTAGTCTGAGGGATAGAGGGGAGATGAGATAGGATGTTCCAGCTCAGAAGTGAGGCAGTAAAATAGGGTTGAATTCCTCCTTTCTCCACTTTGTTCTATTCAGGCCCTCAAGGGATTGGATGATGCCCACCCACATTGGGGAGGCAGTCTGTTGTACTGAGTCTGTGGATTCAAATGCTAATCTCATCCTAAAACACCCTCAGACAGGCCCAGAAATAATGTTTAATCTGGGTACCCCATGGTGAGCGAATTTGACACATAAAATTAACCGTCACATTCAGTTTCTACATAAGTGTTCAAATATAAAACCAGGTATTAGTTCCTTATGTGTATAGTCTTTGTATGACTATAAAACAGTGAATGGTTTCATATCTTTCTCTGTCATTTCTGATCTTTTCCAGAGATATAGTTGGAAAAGATTCCCAGGTGATTTTCACATAATGTCTTCTGAGAATCCCTGGTCTGTAGCATTAATTTTGTCCTTGTTTTGTATACCTGTTTTTTGTTTTATTATTTAATGATTTTCTTTTCTTTTTTTTTATTTAGTTGTAGTTTTTTATGAGGCTTACATATGTAAATGTTACATACATAAATGTTATATTGCCATGTATTTGATGTCCAAACTATTTTTTTTTATTTGAACTACTGCTAAGCCTGATTGACTTAGTGTGCAGCGATGTGGTTTGCCTTTCACATAGGATGGACATGTTTACAAATTAAGTCTGCTTTTACTTTTTTCAGTAGTGTGCTATAGTTAAAGTATCCTTACCTATTAGCATGATCATAATCACTAGTACAGGCTTGGGCAATGCATTTTTGGTGCCACAATGTATAGTTGAAAGATGGGTCACATGATGATACAGAGTATTCTTATCTATCATTTAGAGAAAAATACAAAATTAAAAATTTCCCATAGAGAACTTTGGAAGAAATCCCAAGACTATATGCTGTTCCTAGTTTTAGAAACACTGCTGTAAAAGTTTTTAAACATTGTTTTTTGCTTTCTTTAAAAATCCGTATTCAGAAGTGGAGAGACTGATAGGAAGGGAGTTAGGGGTTATCAATATTGTTAGGAATTTCAGAATCACTCAGCTGTTTCCCTACATCCTAATCAAGATGATCATATATAAGAGTATATATTTAAGTGAAGTTCTCTATGTTATTTCTAATGTATTCCTACTTTGGTTCTCTATCACATAATGTTAATTTTGGCATCTTAGTTATATGCTGTCATATTTGATTATTTTTTCATTTGATAAATTTGTTAAGTGTTTCTCTTATGAGATTTTATCCCAGCAAAGAGTAAGAATTACGTATGCATACTTAATAGGGGCTTAATGGAGTAAACCAGGTCAACTAATGAAAGCTATTATAAATATTCATTAAAGGGGAATTAATACATAGAGAATTTCTGACCATTTCCTTGTGAATGTATTTGTTAAAACTAAACTTTTTCATATGTTTTATTGGCTGTAATTCTGGGTATATCTAAGACCACAAAGATATCTCTTTGTGCCGCTAGTTTTTACCTTTTTATTTAGGCCAAATTGAATCAGTATGTATTTGAAGTAAGTTTTCTGGAAGTACTTTATATATTACTTTTTTCCATTTAAAAAAATGACACCATAGCAAACTTTTACTATTATATGAATACTGGAAGTAACTTGGATAGCAATTGTAAGTACATTTAAAGCACTGCCAGTTTAATTTTTTTCTGTATTTAGTATTTGTCACTAAATTTAAGGTCATGATTCCTAATGTTTCTTTTTCTTGTTAAATAGATATGATGATGCAATACAGCTATATGATCGAATTCTACATGAAGATCCAACTAACACTGTAAGTTAGCTGATTGTCCTGAAGATTGTCTAGTTTATTTCAAAAGGCAAAATTAATTCATTTTGGAAGTAATGGAAAAATACATATGGAACATGTTTATCTTATTTTAAATATTGCATGACAGGCCATTTAAAAACGATAGATTTAAACTCTTAAGTAAAACTTTTTATGAGATATCTTACTGGAAAGAAGCTAGTTGAAATTTGAGAAGAGAATTTTATGTGCTTGTGAAAAAACCTGGTAGAGCTCAGTGTTTTTGTAATATTTTGTTGAAGTTTATGAAATAGTAACTTGACTCATTTGTAGAGTTACACTTTAGTTATCTTAATGAAAAATGAAAGCAGTCATCTCAGTAATTAGTGTATGGAATGAATGAAGATGTTTTGTTTTGGATTTGCTTCTTCTGACTTATACCTGAATAAGAATTACTATATCATATGTAAGTATACTTAAAGAAAAAAATATAAATATCTTTATCCTGATTTTTAACAAATTTTATATTAGTTTATTGGTCAAAATATTTGTTCTGAATGTACTTACATAGTGTTATTTGTTTTTAAAATATCCTGGTGAAAAAAATTTTTTTTATTGTTGAGAACATTTTAGTTTACTATTTGTACAATGGCTTCCCAGATTTACTTTTTATTAAGTGAAAAGTTAAAGAGAAACTTTATAAATGTAAAGGCATTTTTAATGCTTTATATTATGTCCATGTATACATACACCTGCTAAAAGAAAAATATTTTCAGAATATTTAAACGAAAACCAGTTTGAGTTTGTATTGTCCTTTTATAAAAGGAAAAATTCTTATATTAACGCAATGCAAAAACATGGTTTTCTCTTGTTTGGCAGTATTTCATTAAAATGCACATTTTCTTAAAAGTCATATATGATTGTGGATTATAAGGTGCAGAAATATTTAAGAATTGAACATTAGTAACTTGATTCATTTTAGGTAAATTATATATGCTAAATTGAGAAATGACTTAATATTGAAGTGTGCAATTTCTAGATAGCATTAAACCAGCCATTCATTGGTCATAAATCTATAATTTCTGCTTGCTCTTTTTGATACTCTATAATAATATTTCTGTTTATTGCTTAAAAGAGGTTTTTTCCAGCTTTATTGAGATATAATTGACCAGTACACTATGCAAGTTTGTTATAAAATGTGGTGATTTGACATATATATATATTTTGAAATGTTTTATATTTGTGTAGTTAGTATTATCCCACCCCAAGGAAACTTATTTTTTGGTACATATTTGAATGGCAAGGATTCATTATTTTGTGAAGATTCTAAAAATATGGAAAATTCAGGGAAATGTTTTGGCAGACCTACTAACCTACCTGTTACTAAAAAACAAACCAAAAAACCCCCCGCAAAACAACAACCAAGAAAGTACCCCCCCCCCCGAAATAAGAAACAGCTCCTATTAGTTTTGTCTAGATATTTCCAATTAAAAATGAGAGTTAAAATTGGAAAGTTTTGAGTAATTTTCTGAACTATCCTAATAGCTTGCCATCTATCTTAATAAAATAATCCCTTAAAAAAAGAGAGTGCTTCTGGGGAGAGAGAAAAAAAGCACTCTTTTTTTCTGAAGATTTTGTAATGTACTTATTTCAGGTATGAGACTTTACCACAGTTTTAAAGTTTACCACAGTTTTTCCCACCATATAGGGTGGGGGAAAAGTAGATTTATAGTTATAATACTAATAAATAATACAATTAATAAATAATAATATAAGGATAAATTGTTTCATGTACTCACAACTGTAAAACTACTTTTGCCCCACCCTGAATATTAAAAAAATGAAATCAAGTTTCTGAAAAAAGTTAGCCTTCTGTATTTTCCCCATACTAGGTAGAAATTAATAGCTTATAATTTATTTTCTTGGAGTTAGGAGTCAAGTATTTTACTTTAATGTCAGTTAAAATTGAGGATATCTTAATTCACTTTTTCAAGATCTAAAATAATATGTACATATTTGTTCTTTGTAGTACTTTCTATGTTTAATGGCTTTAAAACTGGCTAAAAGAGAAATCCAAAAGGTTCCCCTAATAGACTGTATATGAAATGGTAGTAACTAAATCCCTAGTTGTGAGGTAAACATTTTGAAGCAAGGTAAGTAAATTCAGCTTTGTTAAATGTATTATTCTTTCATCAAATATTATTTTTATCTAATCCTCCCTCAGTTCCTTCTGTCCAGCTGTAAATGATTGTTACGGTTCAGGAGTCACTGAAGTGTTGCTATTACTGAGGGTGAAGACCCAGTTTCTGTTTCTGTATTCATAGAGATTACTGAGGTAGACATTGAGGAAGATACCAAAACAGTGTAAGACTTAGAACTAATAAAATGTAGTAGGGAAAGGCTTTCTTTATATTAAATAGCCAGATTATTATTTAGAAGGCATCATAGTTTCTTTTTACCAAACAACATTGTTACCCCAAAGGTGAAGAAGCCCAGCGCTGCTTTTAGGCACCTGCGCTCGCGTCTGTGATGTGCCGGAGTGATGCTCTCCCTGTGTCCGCCCACAGAGCATATTTTCGTTTTTAACTTTGCCAGTCTGAGTGCTTAAAATGTCACCTTACTATAATTTGCATTATGAGTGATGTTGGATATCTTTTAATATGCTTAAAAAGACATTTGTGGTTCTTTTTCTGAACTGTCTCCTTTAATACCTTTTCAAATGAAATGTCTTTCTGTTCTGGTTGAAGAGAGAGCATGGTTCTGGTGCTCTGCCCAGTGAACCCCCCTTCTTCCCGCCTGATGTGACTCTGTGGGAGACGAAGGCTCCGAGGAACGATGTTTTATACCTGGGTTGGTTCACTGTGCGGCGCGACTAGAGATGCAGCAAGGAGTTCTGCATTTGTGAACAACCTGATATGTCATGCTTCAGAATATTAATTTTTATTCTTAGAAAATGAAGAATAATGTCAAATTTTGATTAGGGAAATAAGTACCTGCAGACATTTTAGAGATAGCTTTGTAAGTTATATAGGAGATGGTTTGAAGGAGGTGAAAGGAGATAAAATGAGTAATTTGGAGGTGGTTCTGTCTCAGACCAGAGGTTGAGGATATGGGGATCTAAGCCCAGAAAAAGTGGAATTGGAGGGGTTAGGGGAAATGGATGAAAGTATATTTTGCAATACAAGTATACAAATAATTAAAACTTAGATGTGAATGTCATGTTAGAAGAGTAACTCTTGAGTGTGAAAATTTTAGTTACTAGCCCTATCAGAATCGAGTATTGGACCAGGCTCACTGTCCAATACTTGATTGAGCTTTTATGCCTTACAGTTTACCCCAGCAACAGTCAGTTTTTTGTTTACTTGCTTTTAAAATAAAGGTAGACTTTTAATCCTTTGAAATCTCCTTGAGGAAAAAAATTAGGTCATTGCGTGGAACAGTGCCTAGCATATGGTAGGCCTTCAATGAATACTTATTAAATGAATGCCTTACAGGAAGAAAGTACAATAATTACTGTGTTTTTAGACCAATTTTCTATTTCAAAAGGAGATTTTTTTTTCTTGAATTATGAACTGTATTGTGATATGTCAAGTATTTGAAATCTTATTTTTGGGACAAGGTACACCTTTTTGTCAAGGATGAAGATGCTTTTACAGTGCCACGTTTCCCAGAGTTATGGGCACCATTCTGTAGCTAACAGTTTAGCTGACCTAAAAATATTGTGTGTTCAACAGCAGAGGAATGGTTCTGCTGTCAGATCGCTGAGAAAATGAGGTAAACGATGTTAGGTGTTCTTAGTCACCCTTCTACACAAAACTCATATTGGCCCTAATGGTGTCCATTACAGGTTCATACCAGACTTCTTACTGTGATTGCAGAAGTATTAGTTGCTATTCATGTTTATATTTTGACATTGCCTGACTTGTGAAACTTGGAATATTTTTAACAAGTTTCACTGTATATAATTACTTCGTTTTAGCTGGTACAAACCCTGTAAGGTTTGGGGCAAGATATTAATATGAAATTAAGTAAACCTGAAACCCGTGCCAGTTCTTTAAAGATCTTATAGGTAGAGCTTTTGGCAAGGCTTAAAACACAAAGCTTAAGCACAAACCAAAGGTAAAAGGAAGGAAGATAGCATTCATTTAATACCATTATTTTCTAAGTATTGTGTTAGTTGCTTTACATTGATACTTGGAGATTGGTGGTGTTACTGAGTTTTGTGGACAGTAAATATTGTGCCCTTGGTTAGCAAACTGGTAAGAGGCGACAGCTGGGATTCAATTCTTCTCCCCCACCACCTGCATAACCTGGATTCTGTGCGCTGCCATATTGCCTGTAGAAGAAATAATGTCCTGAAAAATGAAAGGAATAAACAATTAAATATGTTTCAAATAATAATGTTGGATTGAAGTTAGGTATTATATGTCCAAAATTAATTAGTTTCTTAATTATATGTTCATTCCTCACTTGTTTTCAGGACTTCAAATAAGGCATCATTTCAAGTCTAATATTTTCCTTTTCCTAAAGATTTTAAGACTGAGTTACTTTTAGAACTTCTACCTCCTTATGAATTCTTGAGACTTTCAAAATTTACATGTACAGGGTCTGGCACAAATAACATTCCTTTTCTTAATTACAAAATCTTTTATTACAAAATCATAAGCATGCAATTTTGTAATGTAACAGTATCACACTCAAGCATACCATGTGACATTTTAGGTGAAATGTTCAAATTAAAACTATAAATTATTACATCCATATTATTACCCTACCACACTCAAGCAGGTGTTACTGCTGCCAGACCCTGCATTATGGTGCTTTCATTGTTTTACATAGTGTAATTACTCAAATATATTTGAGTGTCTACTGTGTGGCAGGCTTTGTATTAGGCCTTTGGCATGAGCAGAATATTAGAGGATACACATTTTTAACACGTTGGTCATTATTTTGTTACTAAATATATTGTTATCACTATTACTATAAATATTGCCTTTGGTCTTACTGGCGAGTCTCTTGATTCTCTGTTTTTTTCTCACTTCTTCAGAGCAAAACCCCCACCTTTCTCACTCCATGACAGGTAGCTCCATTAGCCTAAAGAGGATCCATTCATTTTACTTTCATTGCCTGCATCTTGTGGAGTGTGTATTATATTAAAAAAAAATCATTATAATTAATAAGTTTAACCTGGCCCTAGAGTGTTTATTATTTAGCTTTGTGCATTGAATAAAATAAAACAGAGATGGTGGGGTTGTAAATATAATACTTAATATACCCTGACTGTTCACTCCAGCCTCAGATGTGGTCTTGGTTACACACCATGTTGCTGTCTCCCATGCCTTTGCTCCAGTGTTCCTCCTGTTGCGCAGTGTTCTCAACACAGTGTCTTTGTTTGCTCTCTTAATGTCTACTTACCCTTTCTGCTTCAGTTCAGGTATCATATCTGGAGACCCTCTTTGCCTCCTGACCTTCCACCTCTTCCTTTCTGCCACAGCCTATACATATTAGGATCTACTCTGTTGCCACAACTCCCTAGACACACAACTCCCTCTGTCATTGTTTTTTATTATTTGATGTGTGTCTTTCTATTGTTATTGTCTAGCATACTACCTATCAAATAGTAGGTGTTTAGTACCTATTTGATGAATGCATAAATGTCATTTTTTTTATATTTATCATTTAAAACACTTGAAAATGCAATTTAAATGTTTTGTTTATTTTAAAGTATGTCTTTCAGGACCTATACTATTCATTTGAAAGACTCATAGGTAAATTAGTCTCTTAAGATTGTGAAAAAGTTATCAGACGCCATATTTGTATAATGACATTCAAGTGGCCATGGTGATTTTTTTTTTTATAATCTTCACTTTCCCTCTGTGTCTTAAGATACAGATCTTATGAATGAGACACAGTAAAGGACTTTAGGCCGGATAAAGATTAGGATTCCCTGCTGGCTTGTAATTATCAGAATCTGGACGGTTATTTATTTGAATGAAATGATGCATACATTGTGTACATCAAAAGTAAAGCATATGTGATTGTTAGAGGAATGTTTGAATTCCCCGGTGGGATGTCATGGGGTATGTTTATAAACTCCCACTAAGCAGTAGTTGTACAATGGAGTTTCACTGGCATTGAGATAATAATTTGCACAGTCAGATTACCTTCTTTAAGAAAACCCAGGGAATCATGAGCGCCTAATCCTTTATTAATGTCAACCCATAGGCTGCAAGAAAGCGTAAGATTGCCATTCGAAAAGCCCAGGGAAAAAATGTGGAGGCCATTCGGGAACTGAATGAGTATCTGGAACAGTGAGTGTCTTACAAGAGGATTGTGTTTTGTTATTCTGATAAATCTTTTTTAATTAAAATGGAATTTGCATTTGATTTTCCTTTTTGCCTACATGCCATTTATTTACTGAATATCTACGCACCTACTCTTTCCTTTTCCCTCACTAGATTTGTTGGAGACCAAGAAGCCTGGCATGAACTTGCAGAACTTTATATTAACGAACATGAGTAAGTTGTTAAGCACACACAAAATTTTGTTAGTGCAATTTTTATCACTACCTAAGTTCAGTAGACCTAGTGGTTTCAAAGGGTTGGTGCGAAGGTATGAATCGTGTATCATTTTAAATGAACAAAATAAACAAATGAAAAAAATAAATCAATGATTTATTGGTTATAATACGTTAATTGCTTTACCTAGGCCATTTGTGTTTTATAAATTACTTTGTTTGGGAAATTAACTTTTTCTTTCAAATACATAAAGTATTCTTTGGAATTAGAAAGGCCTGCATTTGCTGAGTTAAGGTTATTTTCAGTGAATCAAAATTGTGAATTTTTAGAGTTTAAATTGTTCTTACAATACAAAGAGTATTATGCTCCCTGCTGTTTAAAAATTCTGTCAATTGTATGCATTTATTAGCCCTAGTACTAAGAGAATCAACTCTTCCAAAGTAGAAGCATTCTGTTGCCTGGGTAAAAAACCCAGAATAATCAAGAATGTTGAATGCTGTAGGAACTGGCTTATTGGATATTTAATGTTTTTGTTAGCTTTTTTATTGCTCCAGTGACAGGAGGAAATCCCAGTGTGAGAGGATTAGCCCTGTCTTAGTGCGAGTTTTCTAATATCACAGCATTAACGCGACCCTCCATGTAGAGGCAGAACTCTTTTTTTTCTGTTTTTTCCCTTTAGTTCTTCTGAATCTGAAGTATATCACATTGTTTCTTTCCTTCTTTTAGAGAGAATAGAATCAGATTCTCATGCACATATTCTCACTATGCATGAATAGTTAATCTCATTCTCATAGTACAAATAGCTGACACAGGAAATAAAATAGAATGAAGACACTTGTGTCCTGTCTTTGCCCAGGGCTGTATGTGTAATGCGAAATGGAGACTTAAGGTAGTAAACTGCATAATTCTAACATAAGTGGGAGCTAAAGTTAAAATTATAGCTGTCATTTAATGAATGTGTACTGTATTCTGGGAAGTAGTCTGCAGTTCTTTACTCTAACTCAGATTCTCTTTGTTTTCCCTTACAAAACTATTTCCCAAATCATGTCCAGTACAGATGTGTGTATGCTTGTATGTTCACATGTGTAAACATACTCAGGATTCTCTTATGTATGAGAGTGGTAGTATATTTGGTGTAAATGGTGATAATTTTGTTTTCATAGTTTATAAAGTGTGCAATATATAACTTAAATTACATGAACTGAATTTTCAGAATGCAGTAAAAACACCTAAGTTTTATTTTGTCCGTAAAACAGATGACAGCCATTTAAAATACTTTGTGCCTTTTTGTGATTAAAAGCATTTAAAAACATTTCAAATCACCAAAGATTTTAAAACTAAAAATGCAGAAAATTTGGAAAACCCAGTAAAGAATAAAGACAGAGACAAAATCATGTGTGATTCCATCATCCTAAGTTAACTACAGTTTATTTTTTATTTTTTTACTACCTCTTGAAACAAACAGAAGCCTAAAATAGAATTATCTTTCACAGCAAAATGCTTTTCACTTATATTTTGTCAAAAATTTCTTATCGCAATAAACATTTTACAATGTGATTTCAGTGGCTTTATATTATTCCATCTTATTAATGTAACTTAGTTTTCTTAGCTAATTTTCTAGGGGAATATATAGGTGGTTTTTCATTTTCACTGTAATGCTCTGCTGATTGTCTTTATTTTTATTTTTATTTTTTTAGAGAGAACAGTAGCTATTGTTAGGATTGTTTTAATCTTAATTGTTTTTTTGTGGGGGGCTAAATTCTTAGATGTAGAATTACTTGATTAAATGATATGTACATTTTCAGGGGTTTTGAGAAATCGTTCCTAATTGTTTACTCTCACACTAGCGATTACTGTGTTCCTTTAACAACACTGTGTGCTATTATTCTTTTTAATTTTTGCAAGTTTTGATAGGTGAAAATTGGTTATACCTTTAAAAAAAATTCTTTAAGAGCTCTTGATATAAATGGTTGGAAGCTTTCTTCTTTCAGAAACATACCTTAGTTTGTTATAAGTCTTTTTCATATTGAGTTTTTAAACTTACAGATACATTTTATTTTTAGATGGTCATATATCCATTTTTATTGCTTTCATGTTTTCTGTCTTCTAAGAACTATATAAATAAATTATCTGTTTTGCATGTTTTTAATATTTCTGTATTTTAATTCTCAGATAGATAATACTTTTATTTTAAACCATCAGTAAATTTATTTGCTCCACCTTGTAATGGCCACATTCTGTTTTGTTTTATTTTGAGTCTCTAAAGAGTTTATTGAGATAGTTGAAAGTACACTTAAGAGAAATAAACTGAAAAATCCCAAGAAATTAAAAATACAAAGAAAAACACTTGAACACGTTCTTTTTGGAGGAAATGATAATTGTGTTAATTTTTACCTTAATTTTATATCGCAAAAGTCTTTTTGCTCTTAAAGCTTGTTCACAAGATGGCCATTTTTTTTTTCAAGGCATATTCAGATTTAGAGAACATGGAAATAAATATCCTCAGATTTTTTGAACTGAAAATCAGAATCTTTTCACTTAATTCATTCTGTTTGGGCAACTCAATTGCAGTAGGTCGGATTATTTGTTTGTTTTTTTTTTTGTAAAGGTCATTATTGTGGTATGTCAGCACAGTTTTATGGACACGGTGGCAAAAATGTAGCAATTTAGGAGTTGCTAGATATGTTTAACATTTTGACATGCTCTGCATGTAAATACTTTATAGGCAACTTTAAATATAATAGGTCACAGACAACATTGCTTATCTAGTTCTACAACTTTTTACTCTAAATTCCACAGTAGAGTGTTTATACAAGCCTATTTAGTGTTTTTATAGGGAGAAAAGGGGTTATAGAATTCTGTCATGTAATTTTTATATCTTTAAGTTACCTTTATTTAAATTTGCTTCTGATTTATAAATTCTAGTGTGTATTTAGGTATTCAAGTGGTATATGTTACACCAATTGACCATATTGAGATACTTGTTTTAAATGTAAAATTAGTTACAACTTGATAGAACTACCTATATATTATAAAGAAAAAGATATATTTTAAACAAAGACACTTAAGTTTTTTACTTGCTATGTAATTAAGACTAGATGTTATATCAGTAAGTAGCAGCTAGTAGTGTAAATTAATTATAATAGTGATTATGGTTTCTTTTTGTAGGTCCAGCCTCACTGTAAAATTTTATAACAAATGGAATTATTAAAGTGCTATAAGGAAAAAGCATAATGTTAATAAAGCACTAGTGACAAATACGGTAACCTATGTGTATGCTTTTGTGAGGAACAGAAGAACTTGGATAAAATTAGGCGTTTAAAGTGGAGACCACTTTCCCCTTGTTTATTTTTATTTTTATTTAATTTTTAAAGATTTTGTTTTTATTTTTCCCCTTGTTTTATAGGATAAAAAATAAATATCAGATAAAAATACTTCTGTTCTAGATATCTATTCAGTCATTTTGTTCATTCATTCATTCATTCGTTACATGCTTATCATATGTCAAGAGTCAGGTTTTGGCTATAAAAGTGAAAGGGCCAAATAACTGCATGATCTTTGATGGTTATACGTAAGAGTCTTTATAAATCTAAAATATTGGATATAGGGGTAATCTGCAGGGTGTTTTTGGTTCCTCAGACTCTTTGGATTTCATTGTTGTACCTGCTTTTATGTTACCATAGACATCTTCACTGCCATCGCCATCAGAAGTTTTCATTGTGCTATGTAGTGCTTATAGGCAGTATGCATAGTGGTTAAGAGGAGTTTCAGCTCTTTGGAGTGGCACAGTCTGGGTTTCAATTTAATCTCTGTGCCTCAGTCTTCTTAACTATAGAATGGTGATAATTAATTTCCTACTTCCTACAGTTTGGGTAGTATTAAAAGAGTTAATGCATGTAACACCTAGAGAAATAATACATAATGAGCATCTGCTAAAAGTTAGCTCTTATTAGTCACATGTGTGAAACTGCAACATTTATATTTTGAAAAATAAGGGTATCAGACATTAGTGTAAAGTATCTAACTTTTAATAACTTTGTATATGAGTGACAAATGCCAAAATTAAGTAACTGTAGGTAGCCTTGTTCTGATGTGTACTCTCATCACCTTCTCACTGGAAATAAATCTTAGGACTCCTCTGTTCTTTAGGATTTTCTGTAAATAGGCTACTCTCATGACTTTACACATACAAAATACATTAAGGGGGATTACAGTCACATGGTATAAAACCATTCTTCAGAGCTCCTTGCAGCAGCTTTCTCCTTAGGTTTTCAGCAAGATTTTTGTTTCTCTACCACATGATTAAATAGTAGAGTGTATATCAAAGCCACTAACTTGATCTCTTTTTCATGGGTTTAGGAATTTATAGCTTTATTATAATTTTTGTCTTTCACAATAAACTTGAATAATGAAAAGTCTTTGTAATAGACTGAGTTGGTAAATTTATGTCTTAAAGGATTTTTAGTAAATAGAGAGTACTTAATAAAATGTTTATTTCCTCCTTACACATTAGCTATTTGATTATTTTATTAAATGATTTGTGGAATTCCAGAAGTTATTTTATATGTAACTTGATCCAAGGTCTTGAAGCCTATGTTGTTAAAGTTTAGATGTCATAGTAGTGACCCAGTTTTAAAACTGTAATATGTATTGATTGTTCGTAGGCTGCTTTAGGATGTAAGCCTCTGTTTGTTTATTCATTTCATTAAAAGAACTAAATATTATTCATATTTATGAATTTAGGATAATAAGTCCTTTATTAATAAAGCTATTTAAAATGATTTAGGGATAAAATAAAATGTCTAACTCACTAAAATTGTTTTTCAATTATTTTAAGGCATAACTAAGATAAAATTTGTGGCTTTTAAAGTTAATTTTTCCTCTTGATATTTTTCAGCTACGCTAAAGCAGCCTTTTGTTTAGAGGAGCTTATGATGACTAATCCACACAACCACTTATATTGCCAGCAATATGCTGAAGTAAGTGTTTTGAAAAAGAACAATTGTATGTGATTTTATTTTTGTTGGTTTGAGTATTATTATGGAACTAAGAATATGTCCTTAATGTTAGGCAAGTATATAAATATTTAAAACATCTGATGAAAATTGACTTGTGGGAGTAAAAGTTTTAAATTTTTAATACTGTAATGGGATACCGACTTCTCAGTTAAAAGCACTATTTAAAACAGTGGAATTCTTTGTATTTTTATGTGTATACTATTTTCTAATAATGAATTAATTATGCCACAGTTGTCACCACTTAATGGCTTCTGAGACATTTATAGTGATTATGACTTTTAAATTTATGTTGTAGAAAATTCATATCAAGGTCAGTATTTTGGAAAATAGCAAATATCTTACTTGCTTACTGTTAAGGATAGAATATAATTCTATGCTATAAGGTTAGAAGGACTTCAATGTTAAGGACTGTTAATAGTTTTTTTAGTGGGGAGTTATGCTTTAAAATTTAGATTAGCTTTAATAATTTTAGGATGAAGTTTTTTAAACGTCTTATATTTGTTTACAGAATGTTTTAATTACTAATGCCTATGGTATGATGAAACATGCTGTATTTCAAAGTAGTGCAATAAACAGGTTTCAGCACTGTGCAGTTTTTAACAGGTAAAATATACCCAAGGTGGACTTGAAAACCTTGAACTTTCAAGAAAGTATTTTGCACAGGCATTGAAACTGAACAACAGAAATATGAGAGCTTTGTTTGGACTTTACATGGTGAGTTAAGGTGCATGTTTAATGTTATTTTAACAAATCTGTCATTTAAAATCCATTAACTATCCTATCCAATTACTTCCCTCTCTCTCTTTTTTGTGATAAGCATATGAATATTTTTCTCTAGTTAATTATGAGTAATAGATTGTAAGGCAGTTATATTTTTGGGTGTTAATACACTATTTGACATTTAATTGTAAATGTTTTTAATGTATCAAATGAAATTTTACCTTATAAAATTAAATAGATAACAGATAAAAATCCATCCCATCTATTTCTTAATTGTTTCAACATTCTTGGGTTTATACCCAACATAGTTATATTTCTTACCTTAAATTAAAATTGTGTGAGATATTTTTAAACTATGGCAATAAAAGACATATTAGAAATAAAACCTCTAATGTCAAATTAAAATATTTTTTAGAGTATAGAAAAAAATTGCAAGAAGCATGTAATTAAATAGTCTTATTGTTTATTTATGCCAAATGACAAGCTTAGAAAAGTGAGCTGACAAGAGTTTCGGAGTAGGAAGGATTTGCTGACCTTTATATATAAAATGAGTTCCTCTCTGCAGTCAGAATGCCTGGAGAAATAAACTTTTCTTTAATAGTCCAGTTCTTTGAAATTTTAATTTATCTTAATCTTTCATGGATTTTTGGATGAATGTTTTATTGGGGCTCAGTGAACAGAAGTGATTGCAGAGATGGAGGCAGAAAGAAACAAATATATGTTTCTGGAAAGAAATGAAATTTTACCTGTAAGAGCTGTGGTAGACAACTAATAAAATTATTTTATGTATTATTAAAGACATCTTTTCTGTTCCCATTACTTTGGATTATTCATTATTTTAAAATATATTGTCAATTTTAAACACTATAATTTTATTCAACTTTATTTTTATTTTTAAAGCTGTTTTGGTACAATTTTTATAAACTTTGTTATCATCCCATTGCAGCTGTGACCTACATGCTTTTGATTATTTTGCTAGGAAAAGGGCATTTTGTTTTTGATGTTTCTGTTTTGTTTTGTTTTTAGTCGGCAAGTCATATTGCTTCTAATCCAAAAGCAAGTGCAAAAACAAAAAAGGACAACATGAAGTATGCTAGTTGGGCAGCTAGTCAAATAAACAGAGCTTACCAGGTTAGTATTGATAATTTTATATTATGACATAAGTTAGTGAATGTATTTCTTAGTTGTTGGGTTTTTTTCTGCAAACTACAAAGCCAGATGTTTATCATTGGACTTTTATGCCTTTTAACCTTTATTAAATGTGCTTTAACTGTGTAGAATTAAATTGTTAGTGGTAAGGATCGCTTTTTTTTCCCAAGAGGATCCTGTTACTATTATGATCCATCCCATAATTAATCTCACCATTTAGAAGTCTCAGTAGTTCTGCATTTGGCAAATAAAAAGTAATTTTGAAAATCCAGAAAGGATAAACAAATTGCAGGATGCATTTTAGAAGCAAGTTGTGTAGGTGAATATATTATTGATCAGAGGTATCTCAAATAATGAAAAAAGAAGAAGAAAAGCCTAAGAGTAAACTAACCAAACTATATAACAAAATTTATGTATTGTACTTAAGTGTCATACCTGATTTTCTGAAGCTTATTGCTAGGAGGTTCTTCAGGAAGGCCTCATGGAAAAACAGTCGTCTTAAATCTTGCATGTTTATAACTTACTTGTCTATAAGCAGAGGTGTCCAGTTCCTGGCCTGTGGCTCGTGGCCTGAATGTGGCCAAGGATAGCTGAGTGTAGCCCGACACAAAATCATAGAGTTACTTAAAACATTAAGAGATTTTTTTGTTCATTTGTTTTTGTTAGTGGTTGTGTATTTACTGTGTGGCCCAAGACCACTGTTCTTCTCCCAGTGCGTCCCAGAGATGCCAAAAGGTTGGACAACTCTGGTATATAGTCTTTATATCTGAAGGACGATTTGGCTTTTTATAAAACCTTTAGCTTACATGACCAAGTCTCTTAAACATATTGTTCCATTGTTGTTGTTTTTTCCCAGATAAAATATTGCTGCCATCAAAAAGTCTGATCCTTATTTTCTTTCCCTAATAAGTGACTTAGCTTTTTGTCTGCTTGTCCTAAGGAATTTTTTACTTATTTATAAAATACAGTATGTTTTGTTGATTATTTCTTGGGCTAATTTTCTCAGATACACAATAGACCCTTTAATATCTGGGTTCAGTCCTCTTTTAGTTTGAGAAACTCAACCTTTAAAACTACAGTTTTAAATACTGTTGTTTTGATTGTTTAAGTTTTCTTTTTCAGGTTCCCAGTTATAAGTTTATTGGCTCTCCTTTCTGACTTTCGGTATCATTCGTATCCTTTCACAGTTTTTTTCTGTTGTTTTCTTTTTTTCTCTCCCTAATAATTTTTGTGGAGTTAGTTCGTATACTTTTTCTTGTTCTCCATGTTTCAGTGAGATGATTTTCCTGGGCTCTCAGGACAAGGTTTTTATGGAATAGGGGAGTCAGCGATAGAATAGGATAACTTTTCCAGCTTGACTTTCTCTGCAGCTTTCTATTCTTTGTTAAGGAGAACTCAGTTATGATCGCTCTGTATATTCAGTCTTTGTCAGAACTAGGCCTGGTTCAGAAGGGTTCTCTGGCTCTAGCCCTCTGTTCAACCATTAGGGCTCCACAGATCTTGAATTTTTAGGTGTTGCTCTCAGCTTTAAATGTTGCACTTTGTTAGGTTTTTTGTTTTGTCTGCTTCTGGGATTTGCTACCTCTGGGCACCCTTCTGGGTCCTGCCTTCCACCCCGCCCCGTTTTTGAAATCTCTCTCCTCTTCCCGTAGGGTTTCTGTCCTTGTCAGTTTGGTTTCAGTTTTTGGTAGTTTTCTTTCAGTGTGAAGTTTTGTTTTCTTTTTCTTTTTAGTTTTTCTCCTACTGGAAGAGGGTATTTGCTACATACTTCAGAAATTTTTAGATCTTTGACTGTATTTGCGTGCAAGCTTTGTGCACATCTTTGATTTGGAGCCTTTGAGACTGTCCTGGTTTTGCAGGCCATTCACAGAGTCATCAGTTTATACTTTTCTTTCATGGCTTGTAGAGTAGTAGATTGTCCTCTTTTACTTCCTGTTGCTCCTAACACACAGCTATTGCTTTTTTTAGGTCCCGCTACTGTTGATAGAACCACATTCTAGAGTTTTGGAGGATTTCCTCCTATGTACTTTTTTTGAAGTTGTCTTATTGTCTTGTTTTCTGTTATTTTGGTTTTGGTTTTGTTGCTGTATGTTTCTCTGTTTTTCTGTTCCTGTTTGGAGAAGGTTGGAAAGTTAAAAATATAGTACCCCCATGATCACATCATTAAAAGTAACTGTGTATTTTTATTACATGTATATAATAGAGAATGTTACTTCTGTTGGCATATAAGTCATACTATTTATAAATATTAGGTAGGTTGTGCTTCTTCAGATACAGTTTGAGGTAGCTCAGGTCTATAATGGGGTTTCACATAATAAGCTTAAAGAGAAAAAAATTTAAAGATTTGTGTAATATAAAAGTAATGGTATGCAGACTACATTGTTTTTTAAGACTTTTTTGAGAAACAACTAGCTTTTCAGAATGTGTTTTTTGACATGGGATTATTATATTTTTAAAATGATTTTTTATTAAATGATATACATAGGAAAAAGAAACCCATCATAAATGTACATTTCAGTGAACTTTACAACGTAAATGTATCCAGGTCATGGTACTACTTTTGAATTTCTGCTCCTTTTGCCCTCCTCAAGAGTTACTAATATATAATCCTGTGGGTTTTGGCCTTTTTTAAACTTTATGGAATTTTACAGTATGTATTTACTTTTTGCTTAGCTAATATCACTATTTTATGAGATTTATCTTTTTTTCCTGTCCCTTCAGTAACACAAAAGCAGGCAAACATACCCTTCCCTGCATTGAGATGCACTTTATCAGCATGACTCCATTTCAGTAATTTAAGCCATTGTTCAAAGATCCAGCCAACCCCTATCCTTTAGTTAAATTGGCCCTGCCTGCCATTCTTTTTTTTTTTTTTAATTTTATTGTATTAGATCCATATTCTTTTCAGAGACTTATTTTATAAGATCTCTGTATTCTTTGGAAAGAGCCTTGAGAGCATTGCTTATGCTCTTCAGTCTCAATTTTGCACTGTAAACCTCATAATTCTCAGATGTTCTGTGCATCATTACTGAAGGTACAACTTGCCTTTTCTTGACTCTATATGACAGGATAGTACAAGGAATTTTTGCCAGTTTCTGTCGTCTTGGAAGGTAGCGCATCTCTCAGTTAGTCAAGTCAGGTTTCCATATAGCAACTTCAAATTCTTCTCAACTGGGAATCACCCATCATACAAAATTTATTTCTGCCTCTAGACTCCAGTAGCATGTTTTAAATAAAATCTCTTGTTGCTTTTGAAGCTCACATAGTCTGTACTTTTTCTATAGAGGCTTTGGGTTCTCTTTATGTGAATGTGATTCCATAAATATTTGTATCTTTTACTCTTTGCTAACTTGGTGGTTTAAAATAATGACTGACTTCCTTATGATACTGTAGGTCAGCTGTTTGGCTTGGACTCACTTGAGTGATTCTGCTAGTCTCGACTGGGCTTATTTATATTTCTGTCCTATGCTAGTGGTTGATAGCCTCACTTAATATCTGAACGTTTGTTATCTATTGACTGGAGTGCCGGTCTGTGTGTCTCTCATTTAGTAGGCTAACCTGGGCTTAGATGGTGGTCCCAGGATTCCAAGGGCAGCAAATAGGCAAACTCTAACGTACAAGGGCTTTTTAAGCTTCTGCATGTTGCAGATCTTCCATTGAGCAAAGTAAATCCCATGGTCAACCTAGATCAGGGATGCAGCACTTTACCTCTCAACGAGAAGAGAAATATGTGGTCATGTGGCAATTTATTACACTGTTGTATAACTCCATCCTCCTTTTATTTATTTTGCCTTCTTTTTTTTTCCACTTTATTGCGTTATAATTTACATAAAATGATGCGTACACATCTTAGGCATACATGTGAGTTGTGACAAGTATATGCCCCCCCGCCACCACCGCCCCATGTAAGACATATGGCATCTTCATCCCTCCAGAAAGTTCCCTTTTGCCACTTTGCAGTCAGCCCCACTCCGCACCACAGACAAGTACTAATTTGATTTTTATCACTATAAATTAATTTTGCCTGTACTGGACTTTATATAAATGAGATCATAGGTTATATATTCCTTCATGCCTGGCTTCTTTCACTCAGTGTAATGTTTCTGAGATTCATCTATCCAATGTTTCATTTTATTTTTCCTATTACTTTGTACACATGATAGTTTCCACAAATTGTGTAAAGGTAAATTTTAGTCTAACTTATCCCAGTTACTACAATGAATAAATCATTAACCTTTGAATTTGATAATCAAATTTTTACTATTTGTATTCTTTTGGGTGAGTTTTCTTTAAGACCCAACAGGGAATTATGAAAGAAGAGTTTACTTAAGTAAAATCTAACTGTATGAAAACAAAAATGCAGAATTTATGGTTAATGTGAAAAAGTATAACTTTTCAGACATTGACATTTTAGTAAGTAAATCTGTGGGATCTAATTGAGAACTTCATGACTCATGTCTAGGCATATAAACAAGTATAAAGAAAAATATTCCTTAGTGTAATGTTTTTCTAGACATTTGTAAATTAGAGAAAATGATGTTTTAAGAACTGCTTTTCTTTCTTTGTTTCTACTTAATAATGAAACAGAATATGGCTACTACTTGCTCTTCAATTAGGTAATTGGTTTAGCATGTTGAGTAGAGGCAGGCAAGTTTGATTAATGCTCATGAAAAACTTTAATGTGAACTCACACACAATAATTATCCAGATAAATGCTTCTTTGGTACACCGTTAAATTCATCTCTGCTAGTGATCCATATGTTATTTATGATTGTAGAGGTGATTCTGTTACTATCCTTTTGGGAAATAGAAAATTAAATCATGATTTGAGGGAAAAATAGGATTACAGCTTAATCAGTTAAATTGCCATATAATTCTGGAATAGACAAAATAATTACATGTCAGGCAAAATTTGAAGTGATTGATTTATATTTACAACTTTCTTTTTATTTGTTCTGACACAAATAAGTTTGGTTTATTCAAAATAGCACTGGTTGTCAGTAGTGTTGATATGCAAACCTAGGTGGTATTTTTATTAGCTAATTTTTAAAAAATCAAATTCATCCTTTTTATTTTTATTACGTTTAAGTGCAAACCAAGAAAAATAACTGTATTTTAAAATATGCATTATGACTAACTCTGCAGGAATTTTTTATTTTTATTTTAACTGTGTAAGTGTTACTATGTGGTATCCTATCTTTGTACCCCTCCCCCAACCCACCAAAGCTTTTTCTTAGAATTAGACCTTTAAGTGTCTGATTGGGACCATTCCTGTTTACTTTGGATAGGCAGTGGTAAAAAGAAAAGGCTTTCTGTTCTTGGTAAGTCCTTGTGAAAGTGAATTTATCAACTGGATAATAGGAGTAATAAGCACACCCACATCCTTTACTCACCAAACGGAATTATGAAAAGGCAAAGTTTTAAACGTGGTGTTTCTGTTACTATATTTTGTAGTTATGACTTGTATATTTAACATTTGAATTCCTTAAGTTTGTAATATCTTATTAAAGGTAAAGGGTCTAATGAGCTTTTCTCTTTTCCTGGCATTTCCTCTAGAAATCCCCTTTATTTACTCTTATCAAATAAAGATTCAAGTACAGAAGCTAATGGTTTAGGAAGTGGGGGAGTCATAATGTTAAGCCGCAGCCAAAGAGGTCAGAGGCAGGTTACCAGTTCCTGCAACCTATTGCTTCTGTGATGTTACCTGTGCTTGATCACTTACTCTTTCTCAACAGGTCACGAGAAGTTTGCCAAATTAAGTTAATTACAAAAGGGAAAAAACACGTCATAAATCAAGCACTAAGTACTTAAGACAGCATTGGTATTTGAAAGAAAGATCAGTCACATGAAAATGTATTGAGTGCTTAGATGTTAATTGAAAATACTATATGTTGTTAATAGTAAATGTTATTCAGTGCTTTCACGATGGGGCAAACAGGTAATACAGATGTAACAGACCTACCCCCATAAGGAACACTTACTTACCGAGTAAATCTGCAGTGTTAAATCAAGCTGATGAATCATGGGAATTGTCAGTGTAGTTAGAAAACTCATTTTGAAATCAGCATGAGGTATTCAGCAGTGTTTCCCCTACTGATTTTGTACACTATATTGCATTTAATATGCCATGAATTTGGTTTAAATATATAAAGATAGTATTGAGTGTTACATTGTTTTCATTGTAAAATTCTGTCTTAATTTGCTTACACACACACACACACACACACACACAGTAAATTACAACTTAAATTAGAAATGCATATTTTAAAACATGTTTACATCACTGCCATATGTAACAGTTTTATTTGACAGGTCTTTGCTGCAGAAGCATGGTTATTACCTAGTCAATTACTAAATCTGGAAAAATTTAAAGAATTATGACTAACTTTAATTTTAGAGATATCTTGTACTTTAAACTGTTTAATGGAAAATACTTTACATTTGTATTTTATTTTTGTTTGAAAACATTTGATTTCTTGCTAGTGATAAAACAGATGATGTTAGGTCTCATTAAGAGTTTGAAGGTAAGGTTGCGATTTTGACTTGAGCCTAATTGCATTTATTAAAAATTAGTTTGCAGGTCGAAGTAAGAAGGAAACCAAATACTCTCTCAAGGCAGTCGAAGACATGTTGGAAACACTGCAGATTACCCAGTCTTAAGGTTTCAAAAACTTTCACGTTACATTTCACAACTGCACAACTGAACTTACTGGCCTGTGACTTATTTACTAAATGTCCAACGCTATTTATATACTAATTTTCTGTTAAGGCAGTTGTAAAGAATTGTCTTTATATAAACTTAAAAATGCCTTTTATTGATAAGCAGGAAGATGGGAAAAGTCCATGGAAGAAAATTTAAGAAGAATCTTATTGATTGTACTTCATTCTCTTAATATCACACTGCTTTTAAACCGTAATGTGATGTAGAAATGACCTCGTTAAATAAACCATGATGATTTATTAAACTTGCATGTGAAGATTATAGATTCTTTTTGTTCTGCTTAAAGAGTGAAGATGTTTTAGTACTCAGTTTCTAGTTAACTTCATTTTATCAGTGGTAGGAAATGCATAGCATAGATAACTGACAGAAGCAAAATACTGGCATATTATCTTGACTTTCAGTATCAGGTTGGATTTTGCTCAGCGTTTCAGTAGGCTGTTTTATGTACTATAACGTTATTCTGCTGACTCATGCTAAAATATGTCATACTCAAAAATTCAGCAATATCTCTTTGTAAAATGTTTGTTTTGCCATAGAACATAATTAGATTTCTACCTGTAAACTGCTTTATGGTTTATTAATGCTATAATACTCAAATTTAACCTTTGTAAAAGTTATATTTAAAAGTTATATTTATTGAACCTTTCATTGTAAATTATATAAAAGAATATTTAGAGACCTAGAGAATAGGAATTAAAGGGGTTTCAGGGGCTGAGTTATTTTTACTTTAAGAAAAAATAAAAAATCTAAATTATCTTTAGAGGAATAACAATCCTCATATCCCATTACCTTCTTAGTAATAATTGGAATTTCTTCCTTTTTTCTTTTTGTACTAATCAATCATTATAATACCCTCAACAGTATTTTGCATATTTTAATAGAATAGAAAGAACTGTGAGAGTTAAAACACTTCATTGAGACAGAAATAAGGTTTTAGAATAGGCAGTTCATTCAGGACCAGTATTTATCATTAGTATTAATTTGTAATTTATGTATATGTTACATATAACGTGAATAATATTATTTATTTTTTAATCCCAACATAATACAGAAACTCCTGCCCACTTGTCATTGGATTTGGACAAATGGGAATCATGGAGGAATTGAGAACCTGAAAGTCTTTAGGAAGAAAACTTGCCAATATCAGCATTTTAACCTTTATAATAATTCTGTTATTCTCCCTAACTAGATTCTTTCATGTTGCAGTCCTTTTCGTTTTATTCTGCCATGAGTAATGAGCCAATGTGAAATAACTCTTGTCATATGAAGACAATTCTCAACTAATCTGTGTTATCACAAGATGTACTCTTCTTGCTCATGAGTTTAATAACTGCATTTTCAGCATAATCAGCCATTTCAGATTTGTTTGCTACAAAGAAAATAGTGCCCACATACTAATCTACTACCTTTATTCTCTCTTACCTTTTCCTATCAGTCACTAGAATAGTGTTTTCGTAAGCAAATAAATTTCTGTAATAATTTAGTGCCTCATAACTTTGAACCTTAGTTTCACTTTATTTTTTAAAATTTTAATCCCTTCTGGCCAAGAATTTTTTAAGTACATTGTTAATATGTAACTTACAGATCACAATTTAAATGTACTGATAATCCCATTGTGGCAGACAATTGCCTACCCAACTTTACCTTCACTTTTTCCTTATAAATGGTATCCCATATTGTTCAGATAGGAGCAGAGATCTCTGTCCCCGAAGGAGGTTAGGACTTTACCCCAACTCCACGCAGTGCATCATGATTGATTTAAGGTGGAAATTGTTTCGTTCTTTATGGTCTGATATGCCAGGCAAAACTTTTTGCAGTGGGGGAAGTACTCTGTATTTGTGCTGTCTAGTATGATAACTATTAGCTGCATGTGGCTGTTGAGCTCTTGAAATATGGCCAGTGCAACTGAAAAGTTGAATTTTTAATTTAACTTTATTTAAATTTAAATAGCTGAATGCAACTCTTGGTGATATGGTGATATTGGACAGGCCAGATATCAAAAGTGTAGTCATATGACCTAGTTAGGGTTAAAAAATGAACAGAAAAATGTTGGGAAGGGCCTACTCTTCAAATTAAAAAGTCAAAGCTTTGTGAGATGAAGCTTTCTGTTTCTTTCTCCTCATTCTGGCCAACAGCATGCCTAGTGGTACAGTAGTCATCTTCCAGCCATGAAATGGTAAATATGAGATGAAAGCTACATTTCATAGAAGTTTCCTTTGAAAGATTAGGGAGAGTCTGGGTCACTGGTAGCGATTTTGAAAACCTAAACCTACATGAGGAATTGCTAACCTCTGTACTTACTACATGAGAAAAACTCTTGATTTCTGTTACTGTAGTCATATATGTTTCTGGATATGACTACTATATCCATCATTTAACTTTTTTTAACATGAGAAACTCTTATTTTAGACATGCTAGGAATGCTGTTTCAGAATATAATCACTTAAAATTAAGCAGATAATTGTATATAACAGAAGAAATAATATCTTATTACAACTCAGCACCAAGTAAGCCAAAAGAAGTGAGAAAAAGGCATATTAAAACAGCTTTAACCATAAGGATAATATTGACTTGGGAGCAGAGAGGGAAGTAGAGAAACTAGAAGTGGAAGACCAGTGTTTTAGTATGCTGGAAGCATATAATTTTTTTTTTTTTTTGCAAATATTTAAACAATTATTTTTTTAACGCCACAGTCCATTCTCAGAATAACTTCATTTTACTTCATTTCATAGAACTACAGTTTAGACGGGAAGAAAAAAATGATTTAGTTGTATTCCATTTTAAGATGAGGAATCGAGTTTCAGAGAAATTGAGCTGTGACAGCAAAGAACGGGACCAGGAGGATGTCAGGGACTCCCTACTTAGTGCTCTTTCTGGTATACTCAGAGACATATATCTTGTCTTTGATAGATTGTTTCTATTTTAGAGTAAAGAAGATAGAGCCAGGTATATTCAAGGGACATTGCTTGTTAGCAGAACAGGGAACAGAATTCAGATTTTATGATTTGCAAAAAAAAAAAAAAAAATTTAGTGGAATAATAAAATCAAAATTTTATTTTGAATTACGTTAAGTTGCCCATTTAAAGAGTCACTTCATTTATAGTCAATGTGAGAACGATTTCAGACTGTTTTAGAACCACTTTAAACCTCTCACTCGCACCATAGATGTACGCAATCTCCCTTTTAATCTTGGTAAGAAACCTCTTGTTATGGGCTGAATTGTGTCTCCCCCAAATTCATGTTGAAGTCCTAATCCCTGGTACCTCAGAATGTGACTTTATTTGTAGCTAGAGGCCTTAAAGGGGCATTTATGGTAAAATTAGGTCATATGCTTTGGCCCTAAACCCATCTGGTCGATACCTTTGTAAGAAGTCATGAGGACACAGGCACACAGAGGAAAGATTGAAAGATTAAGGAAGGACAAAGAGAAGATGGCCAATCTACAAGTTAAGGAGCAATTCCTCGGAAGAAACCAGCCCTGCTGACACTCGGATCTTGGACTTCTGGCCTCGAAAACTGTGATGAAATAAACTTCTGTTGTTTAAGACACCTAGCTCTCTGTGTACTTTGTTAAGACAGCCATAGCAAACTAAAACAGTTTTCTTAGGGTTTCACAGAAGAGAATTTACCAGAAAGAACACCCAGGATCAAATATTCTTGTACCCAACTCTACCTCTTTTCTTTTTTCAGTAGAATAAAGTAGCTCTACTATTTTTCTGAGCTATTTTCCACCAGTGTCCCCTCACTTTTTATACTTTAGCCCTACTTCAGTTCCATGAATTTGCCATACTTGACAACAGCCAACACAACAATAGCTGTCCGGTGTAAATGAATCAGAATTATTCCTATTTTTTTGTCAGTTTGGCAGGAAATATATTTCTTGGTGTGCCACAGAATTTCAGTAATTAGTTTATGTGTGCAATGAAATGAAAAAGGGTGAAAATTGCTGATAGAGACCAAAGACTTCCTTGACTCCTCCAGAGGTTAAGCCCCCCTTTTTTTTTTCTACTAGTATTTTACATTTTATTTTAAAATACTTTGAAGACTTACAAGAGGTTGTACAACAGTATGAAGAGTTCCCATGTACTAGTTTCTCCGTATTTTAAGTAACCACAGTACATTATCAGACCAGGAAATTGACATTACAACAATACTATTAACTCAGGTATAAACCTTACTTGGATGTCACAATTTTTACGTTTCCTTTTTTTCTGTTGATGAAATGTCATATGTCAGGATACAGAACTTCACAAATTCCCTCTCGCTACTCCTTAATAGTACCCCCCTCTTCTAACAATGGTGCCCGGCACCCACTGTTCCTTTTCCCATCGCTATAATTGTGTCACCTGATATCTCAGTGGAATCACACAATATGGAACCCTTTCAGACTTGCTGCTTTAACTCAAAATATTTCCCTTAAGAACCTTCAGTGCTATAATAGTTTGTTCCTTTTTATTACTAGGTAATGTCCTATGAATGTACCACAGTCTGGTAATCCTTTCACTGCAAGGACATTTGAGTTGTTCCATCATCAAGTGGGTTTTATTTCAGATATGCAAGATTTCTCCAATATTTGAAATTTGGTCAGTGCAATCCATTGTATTAAGAAAATAAACATATGACCATATCAATAATTTACGAGGATTTGACCTATTTATGATTAAAAAAACTAACCTGGTGATAGACGTTTTCCCAGTCTGACCAAGACCAACAAAGACTACAGTTACTCAGATGTGACGAAAGACTAAATCTGTTCTGTTAAGATTGGACATGAGGCAGGGATGTACACTCTTAAACCACTTCAATTTGATTTTGTGCTTGATGTGTTCATTGGTGCAATATGGTAAGGAAAAGAAAGAAAAAGCATGCAGATTGGAATGGAAGAAGTAACTGCTTCAACAGATAACCTTACTGTCTGTATAGAAAACCCCAGGAAATCGCCAAGAACATCTTGGAACTAGTAAGTGAGTTCTTAGCAAGATCACAAGATACAAGGCCAACAAAAACAAATGGTATTTTTACATGCTAGCAATAAATATCATTTAAAAAACTAAATTTTTAAAACCATGTATATGATATGTTTGCTGAAAACTGCCAATGCTAATGAAAGAATGGCCTAAAAATGGGTTGGAATACAACATGGTATGTCAGCTGTCCCCTAAGTGATCTCTACAGGCCCACTACAATTTCTATCAAAATCCCAGACAGATTCTTTGTAAATAGACTAGCTTTCTAAAATTGCATGAAAAGACAACTAGAATAGTCTCAACTTTGAAAATAAAGGTGAGGGAATCAGACTATCAGATAAAAAAATGATGTAGTTCAAATAATCATGACTGGTATTGGAACTGATTATAGGGCATCGTCAGCAATGCAACAGGATGTAGAGTCTAGAATGGACCCACACTGGTGTTACGAACTAAGTTCTGGGAAAGGTGCGCAAGCAATTCAATGGAAGAATTGCGTTGGGACAATTGAATATTTA